TGCTCCGGGCCTCCTCTCCCTCCTCCATCCTCAGGCGGTCCCGGACAGGTGTGCGGACCCCCCTGGGGTCGGGCTGAGCCCCCAGAGAGGCCAGGCGTCCTTAGGAGCCCCTTCCTGGGAAGGAGAAGCCACTGCCTGGCGCTCCTCCTTCTGGGAAGCTGTGCCCGCTGTGGCGAAGGGGGCGCTGCTGCTGAGAAGGCTGATCAGGATTGATTGGCTCTTATTTCAAACAAGTCAGAGGGTTTTATATCTTTAAGAAATGGGAGACCTCACATCCACTCATCCACCCTTCCTTCCTTCCTTCCTTCCTTCCTTCCTTCCTTCCTTCCTTCCACCATTCATCCATCATCCATCATCCATCCATCCATCATCCACCCATTCATCCATCATCTGTCCATCATCCATCCTTCTATCCACCTACCCTTCCATCCTCCATCCATCCATCATCCATCCAACTATCCATCCACCCTTCTATCCATCCATCCATTCTTCCTCCTTCCCTCCCTTCCTTCCTCCTTCCTCCCTCCCATCCATCCATCATCCATCCTTCTATCCACCTACCCTTCCATCCATCCATCCATCCATCCATCCATCCATCCATCCATCATCCACCCATTCATCCATCATCTGTCCATCATCCATCCATCCATCATCCATCCATTTTTCCTCCTTCCCTCCCTTCCTTCCTCATTCCTCCCTCCCATCCATCCATCATCCATCCTTCCATCCGCCCTTCCTTCCTTTTTTCCATCTATCCATTGTCCATCCATCCATCTATCCACCCATCCATTCATTCATCTGTCCTTCCATTCATTCAGCCACCCTTCCATCTACCTACTTTTCCTCCTTCCCTCCCTCCCTCTCTCCCTCCCTCTCTCCCTCTCTCCCTCCCTTCCTTCCAGCAAACACTTAGGAGGAGGCTGGAGGCTGGGACCTACCCAGGGTCCCAGAACTAACAGGCCGGTTGGCCTGCATCCTTGTCCCTGGATGTTGGAAGTGGTGGGAGGTGTGAGGAAGCTGAGCTGAGGAGGAAGTGGGACAGGCTGCCCGGTGCAGCCAGAACAGCCCCCCCGTCCCCGTGCTGGGCCTCCTGGAGGGAAGGCCCGCCCGTCCTGCCAGGCAGCCCCTGGCCTGAGGGCCCGCACTTGGGTTTCCTTTCTGTTGTGTGTTTGAGTCCAGGGAGTTCTTTTCAAAACCGTCGGTGAACAACGGCCCCTGGACACCAGCTGGCTTTCCTACAATTTTCCCTGCAAAGGTCCTTCACTGGACCCCCCCCCAAATTTTCTTTTTTGTTTCTGTTTTCTCAGAAACTATTGGAAAAACCCATGTGCAGGGGCTAAGGAGATGGCCCAACACCAGGAGGGGGTGTGAGCGATGGAGAGGTGCCTCCTCATTGACCTTTTCTGTGTCGCTCCCATGCAGCCATGTTCAGACCCATTATTTTAGCGATAACCACTTCAGACTGCTTTCTTCTCTGGTTTTCAGGAAAAAGAGAAACACGGTGTGTGCAGAAGCGCCGTGCGCTTGGCCCGGCCGAGCCGGAGACCCGCAAATCGACGCCGTTGGGGAGAAACGGAGGCTGAGGAACCCGGCCGGTGCCTGCGGCCTCCTCCGTAACCCGGGAATGAAAGGGGCCTTTTGACGGCTCCAGCTGAAAAGATATTTTATTTTCGTTTATTTTCCCGTGTGTGGGGTGTGAGACGTGCGGCTGTGAGAGGCGGCCGGGCCCCCTGCTGCTCGCTGGGCTGGCCGCCGGCCCCCCTCCGGCGAATGTTATGGAGAATCCGGAGGCTTCTCTGCCCGGCTCCCCCCTCAGCCCTTTCTTCTTTTGTCTTCTTTGAAGAATGACTTTAGACGTTTTATTTACATATTTAACCGCGGATGAAAGAGGGGCGAGGACGCGTTTGGGGGCTGCCGTGGGAATAGCGAGGGCTCCAAATTAATGGAAATCTCATTAGGCCTCTCACATTCTGAGCGAGAAACTTGATAATGAAACATGATTTCAAATAACGTGCAGGGGCGAGGAGTATATTTTGTTCTACCCTCTGCCCCCCACCACCTAAAATATATCTATATTTTGGAAAATTCTACACTTACACATTCGCTACCTTCAAGTTCTTGGACTTGTTCTCTCAGCAAAGCACGAGGGTTTTGAAAAGGGGCGATCTCAGGAGGCGGGCACGGCGCTGAATGAGGGCTAAACTGTTTGTTTGTTTGTTTTTGGTGGAAGAGGATGGAAGGAGAGGCCCCGAGGCTCCTTCCGTCCCCGCAGAGTGGAAAGTCTGAGCCACGTGGACACGGAGATCGAGGGAACCAGAGGCGTGGCTCTTCCCAGGACGTCGCCGTCCGCGCGGTTGGTTAGAATCGCCGCCGGAGGGAGGCTTTCTGAGCCGAGATGAGAGCGAGCCCAGGTCACCTCCTTAAGATAAAGACCGACCGACCCGTCCGGCCACAGAGAGGAAGGTGAAACCCTCAGACAGAAAGGGGTTCCGGTGACAACCGTGCTGGGGGG